GGGGGGGGGGGGGGGGGGGGTGTATGGGGGGGGGGGGGAGGCGGGGGGGGGGGGGGGGCTTGTTGATGAGTTCATGTCTCTGTGTGAAAATACTGAGTAACGGTGAATCCCTGGATTCTGCAAACCGCACAGTCGCACTACAGACTCCATTTAATATTAATATTATTATTATACAATGAGTAAACATGGGTGGTGCTCGGTGACAATGCGTGAGTGGTAAATTCCACTGGAATTGCATTGTTAACTGTACCTCAGAACCTGCTGCACTGGAACCTGCACTGCGCCTATGCCAGATGTAAGAGCCTGGACTTTAAGCTCGCTCAGTTCGAGAAAGGACAGGTTAGTGTGAAGAATATTCCATTGTGCCTAAAGAAAGATGGGGAGATGATCCATCCATAAAATATCTAAACTCATCCCATTTGAATACAGTGCAGGCAGCTCACACACAGATTACGGGGGAAGGAGACTCTTCCATCCACATCCGGCTCATGTGCTCCCGCGTCCCGCAGGAGGTGACAGAATCCAAATGAACTGTTACTTTGCCGCCAGAAACAGGCTGCTGAAGAAAAAAAAATCATGCAGTCTTTTACCTTGGGTGGGGCTTCAGATTAAAAGTCCCTGTTTTCCTTTTCACTGAAAAAGCTTTTTTTTATATACAATAAAACAGAGTGTGTATTTATATCTATATAGATGCAGCTGTGGAATCTGTAACAGCTGTTAGACCTGATTTTGGACAGGATTCTGCAAGATCCCTTGTGAACAGCAGGCTGTTTCATTGAAGCTCTATTGAAGTGGCAGTTGGTTACTATGTAAAACTCAAGTCTACAGCCTGGATAACATAACCATGCTGCTGCTCTCTATGGGGTCTCATTTATTTCTGCCATATTAATCCGGTTCCTTGCCTTGATATGCCAGGGTATATTGGCGGTAGTCGTCTTGCTGGAGAAACGAGCCCTGCTTCTCACACAGGCAAAGATTTGCATGTTCACGATACTCATGGCACTGTGAACCACTTTGTAGTTTGACATGAAAGACTTTAAGGACGCTGGGAATGACTTGAGAGCATCTCACAAATATGTGACATGTTAGTGGCCCACGGAGTCTCACAGCAGGGTTCCTTAGCCTGCAAACACGTTTGTTATCTGTAGGACAGTAATGCGCTGGCGTGGAAGCCCAAGGATCCCCACACAGGCTTGTATCTCCGCATCGTGTCTGAACCGCCAGCCCAAACGACATCAAATGGTGTTTTAACTGTATCTGACGTAAAAGTAAAGACAATTGCTTTGCGAATGCTTTTGTCAAGAGCAATGTCACAGTCCTCACATTTCACGCGGATTCTTTTGAAATTCACAATTCAGTTAAGTACCTTTTTCAAGGACCGAACAGCAAGATGCTAAATTTGAACAAGCAAACTTCACTTTACTGTTCCGTGTCCGTAAACCATTATCTCGTCTGCTGCTTGGGATGTGGTGGCTGTAACACCCAAGCGGGAAATAAAAATGATCGATCGTTGGTGTTGTTCAACAAATTCCCAACCACAGTATACAGCACGAAGCAGAGCTATGACACTGGATCAGGAAAACATAAATCACAGGGTTATAAATGAAACTGACTGCCACCCTGGGCTGCATCACATGACAGCGACCACTCCTTGTTTGTTTTCCATCATTCTGCTGTGCCATACTAATGAAACTGAAATCAATGTGTATCCTTTCTATTGTAATTATACCGACACAAACACACAGACACACATACACAAACACACACAGACAAACACACACACACGCACACACATACACAAACACACACACAGAGACACACACACAAACACAAACAGACAAACACACAAACCAAGGAGCCTGTTTTTCTCTGTCAGGTCACACAAGAAGTCTGGACCACACCATAAGATTACTACAAAGTAAGTAATATTTTAAGCATGACTAATAAAGCTTCAGTAGGATAAGGATAATATCACATTGATGTGTTACAAAATATCTAATTAAAAAAAAACATTTTGCCTGCTTCTTCTATCACAAAACTCATCACAAAATTGTATTAACATGAATTCTAGTTTTAAAATGATTTCCTGGGAGGGAACGGTTATTACTCTACAGAAGAAGTGACTGCGGGGGGTTTTCTGTCAAAAAACATTTGCACCAACAGACTTACTCACTCAGAAACCCCTCCAGCTAGAACAACTAGGATTAACTAACATGGCTTGCTACTCTAACACAGAATAACGCTTCTCTCTTATGAAATGCCCACAGCAGTGTCAAAGATATCTGATAATGATCACCTGTAATTTAGTTATCTAAGTTTAATTATAGGTGGTTCCTCTCTGACTGTATTTGCAACTGAAATGAGAATCATTTCTGTAAATGGAAATGATGGACGACAATGACATTCGTGCACAAAGCATTGTCCTACTCTACGAAAAAGGTACATGACAAGGTACTGTATAATGCAAAGATACTGTATGTGCATTGCGGCGAAGAATTACATACTCTCGACATTCATGAATTTATTTTTATTAAAGAATATATATATTTATTAAGACTGCTGTCTTGTTTTTTAGACCAATGTCTTGTTCTTTATGGCAATCAGATGAGAAGTCTACTCTAAAATATCATTTATATATGAAACAGTCCTATGTGTGTAATACCCTGTTGTCAAACTTCCATTATTTTTCTGGCCAGCAGTATAGTAATCAGAATCCCAGTGGGCTGTACTTTGATAGCCCACAATAATAGCGAACTGGCCAATTAACCAAACTGAAAGCTGTGATGGCACCATACACTTTTCTCCAAATAAGCACATTTGCGTGTCTTTTACAGCTTCCATGTTTAGTACACAGAAATTTGGAAAAGGCAGCTTCCTGTCGAAGGGCAATTTTGGGCAGCCCCAGGAAAAGGCCAGCAGTACAGAAGCCCTTTCCTGTTGTAGTCAGGTCTGTGCCCTGCTCCTCCATTCGCTCTGTCACACTTACTGTCTTAATCACTTCAATGCACACATTCATGGCTCGCTGTCGCCCTCAGTCTGCTTTCACGACAGCTGGTGCTCAACCCGCCATCTTTGCAGTTTAGAAGCAGCTCAACAAAAGATTGCATTTGTGGTCAAAAAATTTAAACTGACATCTCCTTTATTAATCCAGTGATGTTATGGACTCCTAGAAGATGCAAAAAGAAATATTTTTACATCAAACAAAGGAGCCTTTCTTAAGCTTTAATAATATTTGGAATCATATTTATAACCTTTCAATGGCAGACAAACTGCTGGGCAAGCTATATATTTACACATTTACATTTTCACACCTTAGCCGGTGACATGTCCTGTGATTATCCAGGGCTCCAGGTGGCAAATTAATACGAACTCAGTGAGTTCTTACACCTTAGTGCTGTTAAAAATAACAGAAATTGTTATACCTTTGCATGTTTAATTTGTCAGTTTAGTTCCGTAAGAAAAATCAACTGCATTTAATAATGCATCTTCTCCTACAATAGTCAGACATTTTTAGAAGTTTAAATCCAGCTCCTTTGAGGCAAGCTTTAAGGGAACAATGCAACTTCATCTAAAAAAAAAAAAGTATTAACGCCTATTTTGTCACACCGAGTCCTGGGCTCTCAGGAGAATACAGTTTCAGTGCTCTGTTGTATTATCATGATGGACTTGTTCTCCCATGTAAAATAGAAGCCAGCACTTAAGATATCATTAGCTGCTTGTATGTCACATCGTGGGCCTGGGGGGGGGAGCATTATTTCCTGCCACTGTAAACCTCTGCATGAATGGTACGACAATAAAGGCCACTTTGCTCCGTTTGACTTGGCTGGAACAGCAATTAAAGCAACACAACATGTAGCTTGACTACATTTGGAAACAGTCACCACTGAGGCTTCGCCATGATCTTCCTGATCTGATTTATGCTGATCCTGCGCCATACTCGTCCATCGCCACGTGACTCCCAGGCTGACGGCGTGGAGCTGCCCTCCATGCCAAACATCTGAAGGACGGCAGAGGGACGGGCCTCCCCTTGCGGAGATGACACACCGCTGCCCTCCCCTTCGCATTGTGCTCTGCGTCTCCCTCCCCCTCGCTCCCGTAACGGCAGGCTCCCGCCTCCCTCTCTGTCCTCGATCAGGCCCATGTATGGTGCTGCTGGTGTGATCTAAAAGGGAGGCAGCCTTGCTGGGAATGTGCAACGCCCCACTGGTGAAATTATCTCAAGGGCTGTTTACTCTCAGGAGAAGACGAATGAGTATGAAAAGAGAGATTTTTAAAAATCCGTCTGCCCCTCCCTCTTATCTCGCATGTTGTCAGTAGGTTGGTGAGCTGACCCAGTTTTTCTTATTATTTTTAGAAGCTGGGTGTTGTGGGAAGAAACAGCCGACATTAGGAATCTATCAGCTTCCTTTAGATGTCCCTTGTCTTGTGCTTTTAACATGTCCTAAGGAACCTTGAAGCTGCTATATTTATCGAATGGCACTAAGTAACGATGAAGCATTGAATACCTTTCTCAGTAAAACAGAAACAGCATTCATGGATTCGCCCTGTGTTGATGTTGCAGACACTCATTATTTTAAAGTAAAGGCCCCTGAGCTAGCGAACAATGTAAAACAGCTGGACGTGTGTTTCGCTGCATTTAAGTAGGCCCGGAATAGAAAATTACATTAACATGCTCAGTTTGAGACAACTACTAGGTGTGAAATATAAAACTGGCATGAGAGACGACTCGTGAAATTCATAGTTAGCATGTTTTCAGTTTTAAAGTGTAATTTAGCACTCTGAAATCTTTAAAAAGTCTTTCTATAGTAATACCGACTTTTGCCAAGTACTGCAAAGTCTTTAGTTTATCGTTTGGAACTTGATGGGTTGTTTGGTACTGAAGAAATATCTCCAGTATTAGAAACACTTAAAAGGTACTTTTACAGCTGTGTTTAATATATTTAACTTGTGAACTGTATGTTGAATTATATTGTGTAGGTCAAGCTATATTTAGTACATTACATTGCTAACTGCAGTATTGTTTGTATCTGACCTGTACAGCTGAGTGAAAGGAGAGCATTTTCCTCCAGTTAGAGACAGTTCACTTTCGGGACGGTAAGAGATCCTATAGTCCTTTGCTGACCAGAGAACAGGACTTGTATGGACATGCGTGCGATGAGCGCTCAAATTCCTCATCCTCCCACCGCTGCGTCTGTCCGCCCGAAGGCAGGGCTCAGTTTATGCTTGGACGCTTTCGGCTGTGTCTCCTTCCTTGCTGTCGCCCTCCACTGGAATAGGAAGATATAGCTATAAATACTGTTTAACCGAGTGACAAAAGCTCAGGGAAAAGCATGTCACTCTTGGTGTTAATATCAATCTGAATAGCTAAAAGGACACCTTTTTCATTACGTAGTGAATTTAGCATATGGACACCTTTCTATTTTTTGATTACAGTGTTCTGAAATATTTTTTTTTATGTGTAAAACATTATTGCCCCTTTTGGTTATACTAAATTCGTATATGTATATTTCTGATTTTTCAGGTAATTTCCAAAGTAATTCTTCGTCTTTTGCTTTTCTGATCTTATTGTTGTACAGAGAATCTTAACGTTGCATACCCTACATATCCGTGTTTACATGCTGTGTTTCCTTCTAACTATTTTAATTATGTAACTGCTGTGTTACAGTTTTTCGTACTGCTACAGATCTATGTTGGGGTTTTAAACATTGCATTACCTAAGGAAAAAATGGACTACCAAGAAAACTATTCGGGAACTGCATTACAGACAGTTTAAGACCCAGAAAGGCGAGCTGCGATCCCGATCCGGCTGGCGGATCCAGGCCGGCTTTTGTGTTCGGCCCCACGGCGGCGGCGCGCAAGCTCGGCTCTCGCCGTCCTTGTCCCCACCTTGCTCCGCCATTTGGCGGCGCGCACGCCGCGTCTCCGCTGCCCGGCATGGAGGAGCGCCGGACCGCCTGCCTTTGTTACCGTGCGCGGCTCTATGGTGGAGAACGACGCCACCGCTTGCTGATGAAATGGCTGCAACTCCATTTTGTTTCGTCGTTTGCCTTTTTAAGCTACAGAACAGAAGCTTACATATAATTATTCTGGTTTTCTGCTTTCTTTCCCCCCGTGTCAGTATTCTTGAAACTAGTTTATACAATAAGGAAATATTTTCTTGTGTACATAAATTATAAGCAGTAAAAAGTTTAGGTACTAAAAACTGCTCTGTGCAGCGCTAAAGATTTTATTTGGATATGGAATGGGAAAGGAATTTGAAAGCACAAATTTATATTTTCCACAAATTACCCATCATTTCCTCGCCTTTTCTCCGCTGCGCTGGTTATTAAACAGTTAATAAATCGGTTTATAGCTAATTCGTTTTTAACCTGTAGTTGGTTTAAAGTAAGTAATTAGCTCTCAAATTAAGGATGACAGTCGCCATCTGTACATGATGACCCACAAAAGCGCCTTGATTTAATGAACATTCCATCGATGAATAATGTTCTTAGGCAAAGATCGAGAAGCATTTCGGTCACCCCTCGCCGACCCCAGTGTCCTTGGATCCTGCAGAAAGAAAACTACTTGAGCTATAAGACGCTTCATATATAACAAATATATGCCAATGTCGATCGGCATGTTACTTTTTGATTAAGAATATGTAATCTTGATAAATCATTGTACAATTAAAAAATGCCAAGCTGTGTAATGATGGATACAGTGGGTGACAAATTACTAGTCGCACATCGGAATTTATTGTATTTATTGAACATTTTGTTGCAGTACAAATGAAAATGCGCTGCACATCTTGTTTGTAAACGAGTTAAGATGCAGCCTGGCTGCTGCAAGTTGTCGCCTTATTGCGGCGTTTTTGTCCCCGGCGGGGGTGACAGCGAGCGCGCGTCCTGAGACCCGCATGTCACGCATTAACGGCGCAGTTAGATCTGCGGCTGGCGGCAGGTGTGACGCTATGCGGAGAATCGGCGCGTCGCGTTAAAACAGCGACTCATTGGGAAATCGGCGACCTTTGGAATCGATGAGTGTTTCGGTTAATATATTAGCTGTTAAGGTCGGTGAGCAGGAAAACGGTGGAAAATTACCCAGTGTAGGAAATTGGCTAGACTGTCTGTGTTTTAATACGTGCAGATTTTTCATTCCCATGTTAATCCATTAAGAAAGTCGAGTAAAATGCGATTACAAACAAGGGGTATTGTCCTCAACGCTACCAGGAAAAAGGGCGAACTTTAAAGCATACCATACATGGGCCTAATCGAGGACATTTGAAGCTTTCGGCTTCGTGGAAGCGCAGTGAAATCCCGGAAGTCGTAGGCGCCCCAGGTTAAAGACTGAAAATCAAACAGGACCGCGCTGCCGGCTTTCGCTGCGATAAACAGGACTCGTCTATGCTGCCGGTTGCTGTCAAGCCGGGAAACGGCGCCACTGCGGTACCCGGTGTCTGTAATTCGTTTATTTCGACACTAGAGGGCGCATATAAGTCAATGCAAACAGCTTTGGGTGCCGTAGCGTTTAAACGCGCGGCCTTTGCAGTGTTTGTTCTCAAACGCCAGATGGCAGCAAGTAACTGTCATAAACGGATATTCCTTTTTTTAACTGGACAATATCCCCATCTTTACCCCAATGCAATGTCCTTCAGCATGACACCGGTTAAGTATGCTGAAAATGTTCGTTTTTCTGTCTGGTATTGCTGTTTAAAGAATCTTATTGGTTATGCGTGAAGAAGTTACAGACATACCTTTTGAATATAGGCAAAAAAAATTTGAAGATATCCATCATGTAAACCCTCATTTTCCTGTCACAGCTCAGGTGCTACTTACAGAATCCTCTTTATGAGCACCAGTAACTGTTTTTGACCAACCACATATTTCAATAAAGAAATAAACAAATGCTCACAAAAGAACAGGCTAATAATTTTCAAGTTACACTGGCCATTAGCGCTTTGTATTACCTCAAGCATGGTGACATTCTAAAGCTTGCAATTACACACACAGTCAACAGTAGCCCTCTAGGGAGGGAATTGTCTGGGTGACGGACAATGATGGTGCGGGGGGGGGGGGCTAAGCTACCATAAACCACCAGTCAGGCCTCAGCTAATGTCCTGCAGGCAGTACGACACCAACAAAATAATTGTGATGCTACCATTTTCTGAAGAACGATGTTGGTTACTTCACCATTTCTCAGTACGGCGTTACACGAAAGACATCTTTGCTAGTGGTGACCATTATCTGCACCTTTTTTTCCCTTATGGGAGAGAGCAGACGGGTTGACGGAGTGCTTTGCCGCATCTCGATGACAACCGGCTCTGCCAGGGGACTTAGCCTCTCATTAGCCGCCAGCGACAGGCCCCTGTGAGTAATCTGATCATTACATCAGACTGACTAACTGAGAACCATGGCAGCCCCCTTGTCATCTGCGCTCGCTCCTCTGAATATCATGAGGCTTGGTCATTTTCACTCCATCCGTACGCCTTATGCCCTTTGAATGACAGCAGTTGGACATTTATCGTATGCGCCTTAAAGTGGGAAAATTTGCCCTTAAGTGGAGAACATGGACGAACTTGCAAATGCTTCAGATAGGTATTTTTTTCACGTTATGAATAGTCATGGTACTGGAAGGTACAATTATGATTTATGTATGTACATTGAAGGCACCTGTGTAAACACTTGTAAGCACTTAATGAAAATGTAAAATTAAATACAAAACCAAGTCTTTCATCAGATAAAAATGTTTACACAGTCAGCAGTCAAAAAGCCACTGTGTGATAAGAAATATCAGTCTATGTTTAGTTGTTGTTGCTTTTATAGTTAAAGGTGGGGAGAGTAACCTGCTAGTCAGAATTAAATTACTCCATATAACTCACAGTTGTATTTGGCTAATAGACACAGTCAAAGACATGTAGAGCTGAATTAACATTTTAACGGTATATGCTGAAATAGGTTAAATATCTAATTTGCAGAAACGTTGCCATGGTATCAGTCTGTGTCTGAAGGAAACGCATGGTCAGAAGAGGAGGTGTTAAATTTTATTTTATTTTGTCAGAATGTTCCACTTCTAATGTCCTTGCAAACTGTTGAATCCCTCTTGAATCCCCATCTATGTCAGTTACAGACGTGTGCTCATAGAGTGTCTGTCTGGACCGGCAGATACACACGTGTGTAGGCATGCACAGCCCGAAGGGACTTTTCTGCGTAAAACAGTAGCGGCTGTTTCTTTGCACTGACTAGTTCTTGAATTGCTTGTGGTTTCATGCATGAAGACACACACACACCTTGTTGGTGGTTCAAAGATTGCGTGTGATGCGGAGCGCTTCAGATCAGCGGCTATGATTGTGCTCGTTAGAGCCATTGACACCAACGAACATGACTAAGATTTCATTTAACGCGTCGACTTTGCAAACAACGTTAATCAACGTTCTGTAGTCATTCTTAGCGTTGTGTCACAATGGTCAAAGGGCAGCCATATATGCTGGCAATTCACAGGTTATGCGAATGCACAATGCACTGCTGTAATGTTAAATAGGCTCTATGCATTAGTGATGATACAGTAACAGCTCACCACAGATGGATTTCAGTACAGACGCTTCTCTACTTACGAACGAGATACGCCCCAAACTGTTTGTAAATCGTTATTCAACACCATTTTAAGGGTATATGCAAGTACTAAGAACTAGGATGCTGGGAGTACGCACGCTACGCTGCGGTGCGGCAGGAGTAGCGGCCAGAAGGCGTACTAGGCGGGATTGGCGGGCAGAAAAAAATGATTGATGTTGCAGACAGGAAACGGGAGCCCAAGGAACACAACTTGGACTTACGCTCCTCTTCGTTCATATGTCTGAAAGTTCGTAAATTGAAAGTTCGTAAGTAGAGGAGCGTCTGTATACACGCAATGTAAAAATGTGTATAAATACATTACATACTGCACTGCGCCCAAGAAACTTCACGATCTTCCGTATCTGTGTATAAATGTCTACATATTGTACCATAACCATCTCTCCCGTATGATAGCTCCTCACTCTTTTGATATTTCAGAGTTAATGTAATAATGCTCTGTTTTCCTTCTGCACTCCAGAATTGAGTACTTTGTTGAACTGGTGACTGTAAGCCGTAGTGTGTGTGTGTGTGTGAGTGTGTGTGTGTGTGTGAGTGTGTGTGTGTGAGTGTGTGTGTGTGTGTGTGTGAGTGTGTGTGTGTGTGAGTGTGTGTGAGTGTGTGTGTGAGTGTGTGTGTGTGTGTGTGTGTGAGTGTGTCCTCTGTGATGGGCTGGCATCCCACTCCCTGCCTCCCACCCAGTTCTTACGGCTACGGCCTACAAGCTCACAGTGACCCTGTACTGGATCAGTAGTTATGGGGATGGATGGATGTTATAAGTTATCGTGCCTCAGTATCAGTGAGTGGACCACACCAAACTTACAGCCAGCACGGGCATTTTTTAAATCTCTGTGTTGTCGTTACCTTAATACCCAAACAAAAATCCTTCCTTAACAGACTGCAAACCCCATACTCTGACAGTATTTGCTGACAGACTAAATGGCCGTCCTCTTATCCGCCTGCATGTCTCCTTCAGTTACAGGCCCGACTGACTGGCTAACAGTTTGCTACAATCTGCATGTTTTCAATGATGGTCATTTTGTGAAATGATTGAGACTTTTGGTACGGAAAAAATGTGCCTATTTTACTGTATGGCCTAAACTTGCCTGTTTTCAATCATGCTAAATATATATTTTGGGCCATTATTCATGGTCATTGACCCGTCTCCCAAGACTGTTACCTCTCAGTTTACACACATTACCACAGAAATCCCGCAGTTAAAACTCAGCACATCTTTCATAGTTTCTGTCATAAAGAATCCCTCATTTATTTTATTTGGGCTTGTATAAAACAGCTTTTATATACAACAATTTTACCAGGCAATATCTGAGTTCTCAGCGTTGTTCCTCTACCCAATCACTTCAGCTATACTTGCTTAAGGCCTTGGTTAAGCATTCTGGAGCAACACAGCCTCGCGCTCCGTGTTAGGAAGGGAGTTATTTGGAAATGTAATCAATTGAACAGAAAATGAAAAACCCCGCAGCTTCAGCGTCACTCGCACGTCGTCTGTCCCACCATCCTGCCGCTCTGAAGGCTGCTGGCTGTAATCAGCCATGTCAGCTTGCCGATACCGTTACTGATCCTGCCACTAGAGGATGTGAGAGGTCCAGGAATGCACAGCCACTCTTCTCTGTAACACAACCCAGTAGGATCTCAGCCTCGGTCAGTAAACTCCCTTTGCTTATTTGGCCAAAAAGTCTTACTGACAGCATGGGCCAGAGAATTTGCAGCTTACTGTACTGCTGGCCAATAATTATGGACCTTACTGTACCACTGGCCAATGAATATTCTGCTTACTGTTCCACTGGCCAATGAACCGCACTGTTTACTAAATGGAGCCTGCATGACCATCCGTGTGTGATATATATTGTAATAAGACTGTTGTCTTGATTTTTTTTCCTCATTCATATTTTGGAGGGATTCGTTTTTGAAAGCCATTGCAGTATTCAGGCTTAGAAAGGCTTGTTGTTGCTATCCTTTTGTTCGGAAATATGCTTGAACTATGCTTTTGATATGCCGGCACTGTAATCACAGAGCGTCACTGTGAGGTCACACACCAAGGTGTTCCCACAGGATGGCCCAACTGGGCTTACACTGCCATCGGACCCCGAGTCCAGTGGCCTTCTGATCACTGCCTCCCTGCTGACACCCCCATTCCCTCGGCCTTTGCTCTCCCCCGTCTCTGTTCTTCCTCTGTTCTCTGCCTCAGCATGGGACCTCACTCAGAGCTCTGTGACGTCATGAGCAAGGCAGGGAACTATCCGGAATGGGGCGCCAACCCATCGCAGGGCACACTCACACTGGCACACCTACGGGCAATTTGGTAACTCCAATTAACCTCAGCATGTGGGGGGGCAACCAGAGTAACTGGAGGAATCCCCACAACGACACGGGAGAACGTGCAAACTCCACACACACGGAACCATGGCAGAGACTCAAACTCTGGTCCCAGAGGTGTGAGGCCACAGTGCTAAGCACTGCATCACCGTGCCAGATGCTGCAGTTCCCGTCCCTCAAATACTCCGTCCACTCCAGCAGATTTAGCCAAATGACACGTATCCACAGTGGGGATCGTCATGCTCCAGCGCGTCGGCTTGCAATCAAACTGCTTATACTTTGTAATTCTTATTATTTACGACTATTTAAAGCTTGAATTCAAGGAAGAGCTCGGCTTCGTCTCCACATCCAACTGTATAAATGTTTAAAGTGTAAAAGCGCGTAATGTCATTGCGACAGTAATTTGCGATTTCCGTGCTGAGGAGGAAACGCAGGATACACTGCGGCTGGCAGGCAGTGAGACAGCTTACTGTGGAAGGGTAGTTTTCAACTGTCTCGCAAAAAAAAAAACAAGTTCATTATAGGCCAAATGCATTTTTGCAATATAATAACATATTTCATGATGTTACAAAATGAGATTTTTCTCTGGGTTTTTTTTTTTATATAGGAGATACGTTTTTGGTTTGATTGCTTTACTATGGCCGGCTCATTGTACAAATGTATTCATTCACAGCACCAAGCACAGTGCTTTGCCATTTTATTTTCTATATGGGGATGGGGGAGTCGTTATTACAAATGCAGAGATTCTGTAATATGAAGTGACAGGGCCTGCCCTCAGCTGCAGCTGGAGCATCCTGACTGGCTGTTCTTTTCCAGTTGATGTATACCTGCGATCGGGAAGGAGCCGAATAATGAATTTAACATGCATTACTACTGGTGCAGC